GGAGGACAGGCAGGGCCGGGCAGGAGGGCAGGCAGGAGGACAGGCAGGAGGACAGGCAGGGCGGGCAGGGCCGGGCAGAAGGACAGGCAGGGCGGGCAGGGCCGGGCGGGAGGCGGCGCAGGCCGCGGGCAGCGCAGCGCTCCGGGCCGGGCTCTCGGTGCCCTGTCCCCCTCCATGCCGGTGCCCCGGGACTCCGTGAGGGGAGGGCAGGGCCAGGGACGCGTGTCCTACCTCACGGGGCGGCCATGGCGGGCAGGACACCGGGACACGGGGACAGAGGGACACGGGAACCGCAAGAACTGCAGCTCCCGGCAGCCCCGGGAAGGGGCTGAGCCCGCCCCGAGCAGCGCGGCTGCTTCCCGGACATTGATGGATCTGCGGGACGGCCATTCCTGGGCTGATCCCCCAGCGTGGGCAGCAGGGCAGGGGGGGATTGTGCCCCTCTGCCCCCTCAGGGGAGACCCCCCTGCAGAGCTGCTCCAGCCCTGGGGAACAGCACAGCAAGGACATGGAGCTGCTGGAGAGAGTCCAGAGCAGGCCCCAAGAGGATCCCAGGGCTGGAGCAGCTCTGCTGGGAGGAAAGGCTGGGAGAGCTGGGATTGTTCAGCCTGGAGAAGAGAAGCTTTGGAGTGACCTGACTGTGGCCTTGCAGGGCCTGGAGGAGCTCCAGGAAAGATGGAGAGAGACTATTTCCAAGGGATGGAGTGACAGGACAAGGGGGGATGGCTTCAAACTGCCAGAGGGCAGCGATAGATGGGATATTGGGATTTATATATTAGGAGGAAAATCCTCCTTGTGAGGGTGGTGAGGCCCTGGCCCAGGTTTCCCAGAGAAGCTGTGGATGCCCCTGGGTCCCTGGAAGTGTCCAAGGCCAGGTTGGACGGGGCTTGGAGCAACCTGGGCTGGTGGAAGGTGTCTGCTTTGCTCCAAACCTTGTCCAGCCTGGCCTTGGACACTTCCAGGGATCCAGGGGCAGCCACAGTTTCTCTGGGCAACATCTGCCAGGGCCTCACCACCTCACAGACAACACTTCCTTCCCAATATCCCATCTAACCCTGCCCTCTGTCAGTTTAAAGCCATTCCCTGTGTCCTGTCCCTCCATCTCTTGTCCCCAGTCCCTCTCCAGCTCTCCTGGAGCCCCTTCAGGCCCTGCAAGGGGCTCTCAGGTCACCCCAAAGCTTCTCTTCTCCAGGCTGAACAATCCCAGCTCTCCCAGCCTTTCCTCCCAGCAGAGCTGCTCCAGCCCTGGGATCCTCTTGGGGCCTGCTCTGGACTCTCTCCAGCAGCTCCATGTCCTTGCTGTGCTGTTCCCCAGGGCTGGAGCAGCTCTGCAGGGGGGTCTCACAGGAGCAGAGGGGGAGAACCCCTTCCCTTGACCTTCTGGTCACACCTCTCGTCCACCTCCAGCACATCTGGCCCATGACAGCTTCTGTGCCAAATCTCGAGACCAGTCTCCAAAACGAGCCAAAGCTTCCCAAGGAGAAGCAGCCCCTTTTTCATTTATTTTTTAACACGAGCAAAACAAAAACTGTCCAAAAACGCGGCACCAGCCAAAACCTTCCAATAACAAACAAGCCCACAGGACAGCCAGCCAGCTCTGGAAATGTGAATTGAAGTGGTTTTAAGCCTGGCAGGAGGTAAACCCAAAGCCTTGCAAATTGAAACGTGTTTTAATAGTAGAAGTGACACCACTTCTGTTTCTCATTACCCCCCGAGCGTTGTGATACTTCAGCTTCACAGAAGGCAAAGCATATTGGAAACCCGTTTCCCACCCAGTGGAAAGCAGGAATCAGTATGAGAATCCCTCAGGAAGCATAGAAATGGGACAGCTTTGATGGCTGGGTGTGGAAATTCAGGGTGTGAAAGCCAGAAGGTAAAATCTGTGTGATTTACACCGAGCCCTCACTGGTGACAGACATCTGGTTACGAGCAGAGCTCCACCATCCAAACGCATCCCAGATTCCTCTGGAAAACCAAGGAGCAGCAGGAGGGTCAGCTTGGCCAGCTACAGACAGAGGATGAACCTCTGGAAGCTGCCCCAGATGCCCAGGATGTGCTCCTGGATGAGGCTTTTAGTTGAGCAGCTCTCCTACAAACCAGGCCTTGTCGGGAGGCCGGGAGTCAACCTTTGCTGCCAAGGAATAATGACATGGAAATGGGAGTCAGAGCATTAAAAAGTGGTTTGGAGTGAATGCGTGCAGGGATAAGTTGCCTCCTGTGATTCACATCCTAACCCATTGTTCACTCAATAAATGGAGATTGGATATTTTCCTCTATATTTGCGAGTTATTTTTAAGCCGGGCTTAAGTCATTCGGTTCAGCTCTAAGTCAGCACTTTTGGCCACTAATTCGCAGTTATTCCGAGGTGGGAACATGCAGATCTGCTTCTGGATTTGGAAAAAAAGATGCCAAAATCATCAAATTATTCGTTCCCTTGGTTTTATTTTCCCGAAGAGCAGAAAATCTCAGAGCGAAGCACAAACATTTTTCCTGGGAATTTCACAAGGAGCTGTGCCAAGGTCCTCATGGGAACCAGTAAGGTGGGTTGGGAACCAGAAAGGTCAATGGGAACCAGTAAGGTCAATGGGAAACAGTAAGATTGATTAGGAACCAGTAAGGTTGATGGGAACCAGTAAGGTTGATGGGAACCAGTAAGGTCGATGGGAACCAGTAAGATTGATTAGGAACCAGTAAGGTGATGGGAACCAGTAAGTTTGATGGGAACCAGTAAGGTTGATGGGAACCAGTAAGATCGATGGGAACCAGTAAGGCTGATGGGAACCAGTAAGGTAGACTGGTAACCTATAAGGTGGATTGGGAACCAGGAAGGTGGGTTGGGAACCAGTAAGATTGATGGGAACCAGTAAGACTGATTGGAAACCAGTAAGGTTGATGGGAACCAGTAAGGTCAGTGGGAACCAGTAAGGTCAGTGGGAACCAGTAAGGTGGGTTGGGAACCAGTAAGGTCGATGGGAACCAGTAAGGTTGATTGGGAACCAGTAAGATTGATTGGGAACCAGTAAGGTGGATGGGAACCAGTAAGATTGATTGGAAACCAGTAAGTTTGATGGGAACCAGTAAGGTTGATGGGAACCAGTAAGGTTGATGGGAACCAGTAAGACTGATTGGAAAACTGTAAGGTTGATGGGAACCAGTAAGGTGAATTGGGAACCAGTAAGGTGGATTGGGAATCAGTAAGGTTGATGGGAACCATAAGGTGGATGGGAACCAGTTAGGTCAATGGGAACCAGTAAGGTGGGTTGGGAACCAGTAAGGTCGATGGGAACCAGTAAGATTGATTGGAAACCAGTAAGGTTGATGGGAACCAGTAAGGTTGATGGGAACCAGTAAGGTTGGTTTCCTCCATTATACCTCGACCTGTGTGTAAATTTAATGAACAGTTTCCCAGGTTTTCATAATTCCAGTGGGTTCCCCGTGTGTCACTCCATGATTTCCTCACCGCCGGCGTTTCCCGAAGCTCAGGGCGATTCGGGGCTCGTTTTATCCCTCGCTCCCGGGTTTTCATGGATCAGCACCTGGTTCTTGTACTTCTCTCCCCAGTCCTCCACGATGTACTGGTGATAGGGGTCGTTGGAGTGCTCCCTCCTCTTGGACTTCACGGTGCTCACCAGGATGGCCACGATGATGAAGGAGAACATCCCGATCATCACCATCAGGTACAGGATGACGTAGTCGAAGTTCTCGGCCGCCACCTGGGCCTGCAGCTTGTTCGCCGCCTCCGTCATGTTCCTCCTCCAGCCGTTCATGTAGCTGAGAAAGGTGTCCTTGAAAATGTCCTCCACCGCCCAGGTGAGGTTCTTCACCTCAGCCATCCTCGCTGCGGACAACACAACGCTCATTTTAATCAGATATCGGTGATAAAACGGTTGCATTGCTGTGTTTGGTCTGCTGGAGGACAACTCGTGACCATCGCCCCCTCTCTGCTGCTTGGAAGGGCCATTTTAAGGCAGTTGAGAATCCCCAGCTCTGAGGGGTTGTGGTGGGGAAAAAAGGATTTTTCCCCCTGGAGTTAAAAAAAATTATAACCCCTGAGAGGTTATCAACATCTCTTGATGTTGACCCAATCAGCGCCCTTGCAAAATTTAAACCTATCACACCAGACTAGAAAAGAAGGATGATGATGTTGTTGGAGGGAGAAGAGATTTGATCCAATGTAAATATACTGCTTTACCATAGGAGAGATAGTTAGGATGGTGTATATAATGTATTATAAAATTTATTTGTGTAATGATTGTATTATAATTCCCTTCCCCCCCCCATACTGAGTCTTGTGTTGTGTCTGGAAAACCCCTCTCACACTGGGGTGAGTTGTGGGAGGGGGGCTTGGACTCGGGAATTGGATTTTTGGGGGTCTCAAACCACGACAGGGGTTCGGTGTGTTCAGAGACCCAGTGGGGTTTTACACAGAGTCATGGAATGGTTGGGGTTGGGAGGGACCTTGAATGTCATCCAGTTCCAACCCCCAACACCTTCCACTGGACCAGGTTGCTTCAACCTGGCCTTGGACACTTCCAGGGATCCAGGGGCATCACAACCTCTCTGTGCCAGGGCCTCCCCACCCTCACAGCCAACAATTCCTTCCCAATATCCCATCTATCCCTGCCCTCTGGCAGTTTGAAGCCATTCCCCCTTGTCCTGTCCCTCCAGCCCTTGGAAATAGTCTCTCTCCATCTTTTGTGGAGCCCCTTCAGGTCCTGCAAGGCCACAATCAGGTCACCCCAAAGCTTTTCCTCTCCAGGCTGAACAATCCCAGCTCTCCCAGCCTTTCCTCCCAGCAGAGCTGCTCCAGCCCTGGGATCCTCTTGGAGGCCTCCAAGAGGTCCCTCAAACATTGCTGGGCCTCACACACGACCCTGCAGAGTCTTTGTGGCCCCAAAACACCAAAACACACAGTGGGGAAAACCCCCTGCAGGGACAAAAGGAGCTGAGGGAAAAGCCTGGGAAGAGGGAAGGCAGGAGGACAGAGCAGTGTCCGGGGCTGAAGCGTCCCAACAGCAAATCCTGGGGCCACAGAGACCACCCGGAGCAAGGAAGGACAATGACAAATCCCAGCTCTTCTCCAGCTGAACAATCCCAGCTCTCCCAGCCTTTTCTCCCAGCAAAGCTGCTCCAGCCCTGGGATCATCCAGGTGGCCTCCAAGAGGTCTCCTTGCTCTGTGGGAAGCTTTGCTGAAGGCCAGTGAGTTTGGGCCCCCCTGAGCCACCTCAGAGGGGTTGAGGGACAGTCCCTTCCCTACAGAGGGGAGACACCAAGAGCAGAAGGATTTCTCCTGAGGAGAAGCCAAAGCAGAGGTCGGGTCCTCTAAAAGCTGGCAGTTCCACTCCAGCCACTTCTCGGGGTTTCTCAGGGAGGGATGGGACCTTCCCACCCAGGGCGAGGCTGATCCTCATCCCTATGGACACAGGGAAGTGAATTCCTTCAATTCTTCAGGCCAACCAAGCCCTCCAAGCTGTGGAAAGCTCCCAAAAAGAGCCACTTGATCTCAGTTCAATCCTCCAGCAACGAGGAGTTTGGGGCAAGAGGGGGTGGATTTTCAGCATTCATAGGAAATTAGGGGGGTCTCTCAAAATGGAATTCGGGAATTCCTTGGATTTTTGGCCCAGCCTTGTGTGCACACACAGAAGGTCCACACAGAGATTATATTGAATTATATGAATTATATGAATTCAGATTACACTGATATTATACTCGCACACATGCTCAGGCATAGGGGATAAAGGCATTTAATGAAATTATAAGCAAATATAAATACAAACTGCCTTGAAACTTTTATCCTTGTAAAATCTCTCTGCTTTTTCTTTGATTCAGAACAAAATTGCTCTGCTTTTTCAAGAGGAAATAAAGAATTACTGACAGAAACTCGCCTGTGTCTGTAAAAATCTATAAAATCTCTGCTGTTGCTTTGATTCAGAACAAAACTTGCTCTACTCTTCCAATAGGAAATAATTATGGAGAGAAACTCACCTTTCTCTGAGTCCATTTCCAGGAGATTCACTTGGGATTTCCAAATTCCACTGGATAATAAGGTGATAATCTCCAAAAGAGAGCAGCCTCCAGCCTGCTGGACGGGAAAGAAGTGCCTTGCACTGCACACTTTCTGTGTTTATTCAATGAAAAAATGAATCTAATCTCACCTGGAAAGTCAAATATTGGCCGAGAGCTCCCGTCAGTCATCCCGTGGGATGCTGGGAACGACTCTTTGTGCCAGTTGTTGGGAATTCCTGTGTTTTGAAAGCATTTCTGTGCTTTCCTGGGGGTGGATGGAGGTGCAACTCCATGTCTGGTGACCCAGAGGGGAGAAGGGGGAAGATGAGCTCTGCGAAATAATAAGAGGAATTATTAAGAATTGGAATGATTCCCTGTGAGGAAGCAGGGAATTCCTAAAGCAGGGAATTCCTAAAGCAGGGAATTGCTGCTGTTCCCAGCAGTGGGTGGGTTCTGTGTTGGAAGGTGGTTTCCTTGCCCAGGGGAGGGTTTGTTTTCCCCCCACACTCTCAGGGATTTGTCGTTGTCCTTCCTTGCTCCGGGTGGTCTCTGTGGCCCCAGGATTTGCTGTTGGGACACTTCAGCCCCGGACACTGCTCTGTCCTCCTGCCTTCCCTCTTCCCAGGCTTTTCCCTCAGCTCCTTCTGTCCCTGCAGGGGGTTTTCCCCACTGTGTGTTTTGGTGTTTTGGGGCCACAAAGACTCTGCAGGGTCGTGTGTGAGGCCCAGCAATGTTTGAGGGACCTCGTGCAGTGACCTCTTGGAGGCCTCCAAGAGGATCCCAGGGCTGGAGCAGCTCTGCTGGGAGGAAAGGCTGGGAGAGCTGGGATTGTTCAGTCTGGAGAAGAGAAGCTTTGGGGTGACCTGATTGTGGCCTTGCAGGGCCTGAAGGAGCTCCAGGAAAGCTGGAGAGAGACTATTTCCAAGGGCTGGAGGGACAGGACAAGGGGGAATGGCTTCAAACTGAGAAAAAGCAGGGTTAGATGGGATATTGGGAAGGAATTCCTGGCTGTGAGGGTGGGGAGGCCCTGGCCCAGGTTGCCCAGAGAAGCTGTGGCTGCCCCTGGATCCCTGGAAGTGTCCAAAGTCAGGTTGGACGGGGCTTGGAGCAACCTGGGCTAGTGGAAGTTGTCCCTGCCCATGGTAGGGTGTGGCACTGGATGGCATTTAAGGTCCCTCCTAACCCAAACCTTTCTGTGATTCTATGAATAATACAATATCTACAATAATAATATAATAATAATAATTATGATGATGTTGATTATTATTGTTCGTGAGAGGTGAGCACAGAGCAGGGCAGTGAGAGACCTGCCTGTTAGGCTGCTCAACACCCAAATTGTGACTTTCCTTCCCTTTCTCCCACCAGGATCACCCCTGGTAGTGCCCAACCCCTCCACAAAACCAGTCCTCTCCTGCCCCCAGGCCCAGCCCCTCTGAGCTCTGCTCCGGGGGCACCTCACGAGCTGGAGAAGGAAAAGACAAAAAACCTCATTAAAAAAAAAAAAAAACCCAAAACAGAATTAAATGAATGTAGCTTTTATTTCTGGCAAACAGCACATGCTGCCACCTCACTGAGAGCTCTGAGTCACCCCTGAGAAAACAAGTGCCATGAGTGCAAATTTATCCTTCCTTCAACCCATTTCTCCTCCCCCCCATTCCTGGTCAGTCCTGCTTGGTCGATACTTGCAGTGCCACAGATAAAACATATCTATTTTATATATATATATATATATATATATATATATATAAGATGCATCTGTTGTCGAGCAGACATGAAATTTCACTGGAAATTCTGGAAGGTTCCTTGGATAATCCCATTGTGAAGGCATTTGCTGGGTCTCAGTAGCCACGAGGTGCTCGAGGACAGGCAGTGTGGGAATGATGGAAAAGCAGGAGGGGCAGGAAGGGTGAGAGCCTCGATGTTGGTGTCTGGGATGGAGACTGACACTGAAAATGCTCCTGATCTCCTAAAATCATGGAATATCCGAGCTGGAAGGACCCACAAGGATCATCCAGTTCAACTCCTGGCCCTGCCCAGGACACCCCAAGAATCCCCCCCTGTCCCTGAGAGCATTCTCTCAATTCCCCATTAGTTGTTTCCCTTCATTCTCTACAATAAACAAACTTTGCACTTTATTTTCCATCAGCAGCTGCTGATTTTATACCATTTTTTTTGGCCATATTTCCCCTTCATTTTCTTTAAGATGAGAAAATCACTCCTACATAACTTACAGGGTCCATAACTTAGGATCATGAATTTTATAGGGTTAATTCTTAGAGGAAAAAAAAATGGAGCTCCTAAATGTGATTATTGGGGAATTATGAGTATCCTTTAATATGTCCCTGGGTAATTTACCTTTGGCATTTCTTCTATTAATTAAGTTTAAACTGTTCTCTTTCTGTTGACTTTCCTTTAAAAATTAAAGGAAACCTAATTTTTCCTATAGCTTAAGACATTTTCCTGCTCCTTTATTGCAAGTGTTGGTAATTAAAGATGCTGCCTCTTTATTTTTCATTTGCAGCTTTGCTTCTGTGTCTCTTCCCTGTTCCTTTAGTTTTTGCACCAGGCTCTGGGTCAACATTTAACTCTTCTTGCCCTTTAAGATTTCCTCTAAGAAGATCCCAATTCTTTCATTTTCTTTCTGCATTCTTTCTTTTTTTTCTTTCTGCATTCTTTCTTTTTTTTCTTTCTTTCATTCACCTCATGAATGCAGGGCATGATTTTTCTCTCCTAGGAGAAAAGATTTAGGGTTTCTCCACATTTCCTGTATTTTTCAGCACAACTGGGAGTTTTGATACCTTGCCCTGAGCAGGTTGGGTTTTCCCTTTAAAAGAAGAAACCCTTTTGCAATCACTTATTTCTTGTGTAACTGCTCTTCCATCTTTTTTAGGGAGCAACATTTAGAGGTTTCATCTGTAGCTTATTTTCCTGGGGCTTTTGTCTGCTCAATAAATACATTTACTGGTTCAACAGTTTGTTTTTCTGAGAGATCTGGAGACTTAATTGTGTGTTTTAGAGCTTGATCACCCATTGTAACACCTTGGGTGTGTTTGCAGAGTATTGATTTCCAACCTTTCCC